CAGACAAATGAAAGTGATCGGACCAGCAAGAACACGCTATGATACAAATGCACGTTCTCTTCTGGCTGCTGGCGTAGAAGCGACAAACATTCCACTTTATTTCACATCCAAAAAAATGGCATTCTTCTCAAGTGTTCGATGAATCTCTTTCCATTTGTTTGATTCTGATAGTGAAATAATTTGTAAATATTAATGTATTGAATTGGATATGCGATGATTTATTTTAAAGTTTGCGGTGTTCACTTTGAGTTTTACTTTTGTTTGGTTCATAATGATAACACATATGTTTTCATGCAATTGTATTGAATAAATGTTCATTCGCAGTTTTAATTGCGTTTAAATTAGTGTAAAATCGGTGTTCAGTTTAAAAAACCGACTAAATTTGATAATATCACCTGTCAATTACTTGCTTGCAGTCCGTCAGCTGTTTGAATTCACTTGCTACTCTATATTGAACTTGAGGAACATTGTTATTGGCTGGACTAAGTGCTGAAATTTGAGCTGAATGCCTTTACTAATAGTCGATGGATTATCACAGAACAGCTGCACAAATATGGCAGTGTTATGACAAACGGACTGGAATGGGTTTCCTGGCGACTTGAAAGAGATTGATAGATAGAAGGGAATGAATAAATTTATTGTTAATGGAATGTAATTGTTAGATTTGACGTTTTGTGGAGACAGCCATTTTGTGTAACAATGATGCGACAGTTGGCATTGAGTCAATGATGTCGCGTTCGTTGGAAACGTGGATTTGAAGAACGGAAATTTATCGAACTCTTATTTTTACGATGTTGACAACTAGCGGTGATGGTTCAGTGGAAGGAAGTAGTAGTGGAAGAGACGCTGTCGAACTTCGACCTAGAACGCAGCGCTCGGGATCGGGCCCTCGTTTGTCCAAATCTGAGGAGGGCAGATCAAATCAGAAGGTTGTTATTATCACTGGTTGTTGTTTGTCATTGCCATTATGAATATAACTTTTATTTGAGGTGATAATTGAGAAGAAAGTGAAGCCGGGCGATAGTCTGAACAAAATTGCACTTCAGTATTCAGTGGATGTAAGTCG